AAAAATGTTCATGTTGGTGACACTTGAGACAGTCTCCTGACACAGTCATTCTGATACTAGCAAACCAGAGGTGGATAAAGGTGAGAGGATTTACTGCACTGGGTTTGTATTCTATAGGGCTCAGTCTCTATGTAGAATGGATAGCCACCTGTTGCGAGCATTGTGCAAAGCACGAACTCCGTAGCTATGATGACGATCCACAGGATCTCCTTTAAAGTGCACTTGTGAACTCAACTCGCAACCTTCAGAAAATGAGACAGTCGGCCTGACCACTTTGCCACATGAAGAGCAAATGACTTAAGTTTATTTAAAAGGGAAAGAAAAGAAAATGCAACAGATTTGGACTGAAGGGAAAGAGTTAGTTCAACTAACGGCTTATAACAGCTAGTGACACGTACTCAAAGTGTAATAACTGCAACCCTTCACTGTTGTGACAAATACACACGGTTTTTAAAAAATTGAATGAGTAACACTGATAAAAGTGCAGGCCCCTATGGGTTGAGTTAAGAATCGACATCACAGCACTCGGGACCTCCCATAAGTGATCCATCCCTATCTTCAGCAGCAAGTGAAGAATTCAAATTCCGATGGCACCGGTAACTGATTGTATATCCATCTCGCCTTTCCCGTGAGTGTTGAGCGTTGGCCAGATTCCCTGGTAACTCCTTACGGCTCGATTCTCCTCAGCCCATATTGATCTACTTGTGCCTCCGCACAGTTTACTTGCTCACAAAGGCCCTCACATCTAATGTCGTACATCAGTTTACCACTAAGTGTGCAGAACCAATCAGCATATCTGTCTGCTCGTTTCTCAACACACCGGCATGACCAGGAGAAAATATCCGGAACCTGTGAAGCTATACTTGCCACTCTGCATGGAGCATGCCTGTCTCCACCTTTCTCAACATTACAACATATATGCAAGCTGATTCTCAAGGCAGCAGTGACTGCCCTGGATGTCATCACCCAACAATTTGGGCTGGGTATGACAGACTTGCTAAGCGACTGCGTCCACAAGGCACAACTTCACACTGCAGCCAACACACTGTTGGCGATAACAGTTTCGAAAGCTCTGTCCTGATCCTGGTGTCACTGGCTTTGTTGCAGCAGGTCGTATTTCTTCCAGAGGGCTGGGGTAAATGAAGCGGGAAAAGTGAGAGGCCGGAGAACTGCGATAAACGGCCTGACTGGCTGTGGGAACAGAGCTGAGAAAACTGAGGCTTGGGTACAAGGCCAAAATAACGGTAATCTGATCAGTTTGTCTTCTGTTGCGTACGTTGATAAATAAGCTGACTCTTCTATTCGTTTTCACTGGTGTTGCATTTTAAGGGACTTTTATCGCGGGCGAGAGTGGTGCCTGGATCAGTCCACAATTAAATTATAGGTATGTCCCCCCCCCCCCGCTTCCCTTACACATTTCCTTGGGACGCTCACTAGCCTTAATCATTGTTTAAATGTGTAATAATAATAATAGTTATTAGTTTGTGTTGTCGCGAAAAAAATATGTGGAATGATATGAAATTTAATAAACAAATACTTGAAAGAGACAGGCTGTACAGGGGCGCTTAGTTCTTCGTCAGATTAGGGTTGGGGGAGGGGGGGGGGAGGTGTATGCCTGAGCATCCACAAGGTTCGGCTCACCTGTTGACTTCACACCTTTACTTCCCCAAGTGCTTGATCTTTTTCTGGTAGATCCACTTGGATAACGTCAGCTTATTGTACAAACTCCGTACTCTTCTCTTCGAGTCTTATCGTGTTGTAGCTGACTCCCCCAATGGGTTTCGATGGGGGGCATAAATCTATTGTCGCCGTACAAGTGTGTCTTAACAGCCGACTAATTAGGGACGTTTCATTTGAGCGTATCAGCCTGTGAGGCAAGGAACAAACATTCTGCGTGCAATATAAGCCAGATCTGTCCAAAAAATGTTGAATCGGCATCACAGCACTCGGGATACGCCTATAAGCGCTCCGTCCCAATCTTCAGAGGGTATATCTGTCTCGCCTTCCCCCTGAGTGTCGAGCGTCGGCCAGATTCCCTTAGTAACTCCTCGCAGGGCCATTATCCTTAGACCGTATGATCTATCTGTGCCTCAGCACTGTTCACTCGCTCCTAAAGGGCCCGCACAACATCCAGCTTGTCATACACACATCAGTCCACCACCAAGTGGTGCAGAACCGGTCAGTTTATTTAATGTTCATTTCCCAACACACCGCCATGGCATGGAGAAAACAACCAAAGGTTGCTAACTACCCGGATGCTAACTATCTGTCGAACAGACGTGCAAGCAACAAGACTTAAGTCCAGACGTGGGCAAAAGTTTTTAACCCATAGAAAATAACCTATCTCTCTGAGGCCCCAATACCCCTCCCCCTGCCCCCCCACCCCCCCCCAATCCAATATTTTCTTGACATCAGTGCCCCTGACTCTGTTTCATCATCTTCTGGATTTCTTTAATGCAGAGCTGTCCAAATTGTTCGTATTGGTGACACTTTTGAAAAAATCCCCTGACACAGTCATTCTGATACTAGAAAACCAGAGGTGGATAAAGGTGAGAGGATCCGCTTCACTGCACTGGGTTTTTATCCCATAGGGCTCAGTCTCTCTAGGTTTCTTACCCTTTAAAATAAAGTTTGTTCGTTCGTCTTAGAACGGCTAGCCGCCTGCTGAGAACATAACGCAAAGCACGAACTCCATAGCTCTGATGACAATCCAGGGGATCTCCTTTAATATGCACTTGTGAACTCAAGCCACAACTTTCAGAAAATGAGACAGTCGGACTGACCACTTTGCCACATGGAGAACAAATGTCGTAAGTTTATTTAAAGTAAAAGAAAATAAACTGCAACAGATTTGAATTGAATGGAGTAAGTTAAACCACGGCCATCTTTAGATATAAAGATACAGCTGGACGTGGTTAAACTAACCGTTTATAAAAGATAAGGACACACGCACACAAAGTGGAATAACGGAAACGCTTCACTGACCATGCAGCAAAACAAAATTAAACAGAGAACCTATACATGGCAGAGGTGGGCATTTATAATTTCCCTGGATGAGGCAAGGGTGGAAACAACTAACGCCTTGTTTAAGTGCAATAATAATAATAATATGTCGAATAGCTACTAAACACAAAATCAAATGTGAAATACGGGTGTGACGGGTAAGAACATACGCTTAAACAGATAACGTCTATACTTGGTGAAAGCATAGCACCTGAACTTGGGGGCGGGGGGGGGGGGAAAGCACCCCAATACTTTTTAGGGAGCAGTGCCTCAGGGCCGTACGAAAGGGTTCCGGTTTGGGGTGGGGGGGGGGGGCGGGTGGCAGGCCGCTTTGGGTGTCAACACTGGGAACGGGGAGGGTGGGGTGAGGCAAAATGGCGGCCTTATGTTTGAGACTTAAATAATAAATGTGGGTTGGGGGGGGGGGGCGAATTGACAGGACATTCGGTACCACTTAACATTTCTGTACCATTACAAAGGACCCTCCCACTTTCCATCCTCTCTATCATGTATAGGCGTCCTCGTTTGTTCCTTTGTTTATTATTGTTTCAAATTTATTATTTTTTTATTTGCCATTTATTATACAATAATAATAAATATTTGGGTTCATTTTACGTTTCCCGGCCTAGAAAGAGAGTGACTTCCCTTGCCATTCATGTCTCGTCGGCTCGCATTACTTTTCCTTTGTTGCGACTGGCGTGGGCGATCATGCCCCTCCACAATCTGCTATCCGCAACTGCGTTTATTAGTTGGTGTGTGGACACCCCTCCATGCCATGACAAAAGGCTGTCAAGAATCTTCTCACGCTGTCTTCCCCTGTCTCTCTTTCCACAGATTTTTTCAGTTGTCACAACATGTTCCCCTCTTCTATTAACATGACCGAAAAATTACGACTATCTCTTTCTGATGTTTGTGATAAGTTGTATTTGAGCGCCCAGCATCATTATGTAGCAGGTCTTTTGCAGAACGTCGCTTTCATCACGGTCTGCCTGAAAGAAACTCCATCTCTCGCCAGCTCTCCCGCCTCATGTACTTTCATACTCAAAAAGTCACTTATATCCTGTGCCCATCTTCGTGTTGGTCGGCCACTGCCTCTCCTTCCTGGTACCATGCCTTCTGCTATTCTTCTTCTTCTTTGCGTTCACCAGCTGTAAACTCTGGCGGAAGGTTCTGGTTTCTCGTCAGCTACTGAACTGGAGTCCTGCTCCAGAAACTGAGTGTTGCGTGTGCATCAGTTTTACAGATCTCATTCTCTTGAATACAGACAGTTGGTTCCTTGCCTCTCCGGCAGATGCACTCCGACTTCAAAGTAAGCTCCCCAATTGGTCGACTCTTACGACATGCTTTTGGGGAGGCAGTGGGTCTATTCTTGTTTTCCCCACAATGGGGCCCCGGAACCCACACGGGGGCCTTCTGCTATTATGATTTCCAATCCGTCGTGGCACTTGATGTGACCAAAATATTTCAGCTTTTGAGACAAGATGCTGTTTATTAGCCAATCTTCCTTGATGTTCAAATCTTTCAAGATGTCAGTATTTCTCCTCTTCTTTGTCTAAGATATTCTGAGAATCTCTCTATAGCATTTCAGCTCAAAAGCCCATATTCTCTTTCTTAAGGATTGGGAGATAGTCCACGACTCACATCTGTATGTTGCCACCGGAAAGATGCATGCTCTCAAAGTGTTAATTTTGAGCTCCTTGCTGATGCTTAACCATGTAATGCTTCGAGATCTACTACTGTTAATTACTACTACTATTTTTATTAGAAGACGGCGGGTGGGGGGGGGGAAGGGGGAGGTCATGGTGCCTTGGCCTCTCCCGGTTCCCGGCGCCCATGTCTGACAGCCCTGCACCATGCAGCAAGCATGTACAACCGGGGAGGGACTTGACCCGGATACTTCACGTGTCTGCCGCTGACCCCAGAGAACCTTGAACCGCCGACCTTACGCCCTCGGGAGTTCAAGGTCTGTGTGAAACTGCTGCAGGAACAAGAAGAAAATGTCGCAAGGAGACTTCAAACTTCCACCCGATCCCGACTTGGAGAAGACTTTCCAGCTCGATGGCTACCTCAAGACTTATGAGCATGAGATCAGGAGAAGGTAAGTGTGTGTTGGTCGTTAACGATGGCGGTTACAGGGGCCAGGAGGTCCGGGGGTCGCCGGATGAGTTGAAACAAATGCAACGCACGGTGTAAATGGAAGTGAATGACCGGAAAGCACAAAGTAAGTGAAGGAGGTCAGTTTTACAGGTTTATGTCAGACGATGTTGCTGGCGAAACGCCTTCATCAGCAGAAAAGCAAACCGCTACAACCCACATTTTAATACATTCTTCAGTCTTTTGTCGTTTCACCGATACCAGGTTGTAGCCCTGTGTCATGGTTTTCTCTATTTATCTTAGGTGATGGATTTGTTCATCTTTTTGTAGCTACTTCAGTCAAATTTTTAAAATGCCCTCTACACCAATAAAACCAGCACAGTTAGATAGCTGTAAACAATCTCTTTCCAATGGTACCTCATTTAGGCTTGTATGTCATTTCTGAGCTGAGATATGTAGGTTTTTGTGGAGATAAGATGTAAGAAACAGCCGCTAAAACTTGTGACCCAGAAACAAGAAGTTTTTTGACTGCGCAACCTACTGCGCAGTTCTGTATCGGCTTTGTTGACATTGGACTCAGCTCACTCAGCCGCATGTGATTGCCTAAAAAATGTCACTGTAAATCTAAACAGCCAGAGTCGGGAAAAAAAATTTAATATGCAAATGTAAAATTGGACGGAGAATTCAATTGTAACTAGCATTACCACAACTGGTAATGTTTAAGCCTAAAGCCAACCTCGAATTTACCGCTTTTTTCAATCAAACTGATAGACTAACAGAAAAACAGAGAATGTCCGGCTGTCGTAGACATGCGCTGTTAATCGGGTTCCTTCCCGCCGTTTTCAGCTATTTAGAGTGGGTGAAAATCACACCAATGGCAAAATTTCATGAGAGATTAGGACCCATCCCGAAACCCCAGCCGACATTTCCGAAACAAGTTTTAAACGGTTTCTATGGTAACGGAAATTGTCGAAAAGATAGCAAATTTCCGAAACTGTGGTCCCTACTTTTTGCAGGTTTCGGCTACACAATTCATCCATATCGGTATCGTGTCTTCCTCTCGCCTTCCTCCCACATGTTCTACTGTAAAAAGTCTCATATGCAGTTTGGCATGGCTGCATTGTCACTAGGAGGGCTGACCATTTCATTGTTTGTCTGCCAGTGTAATGTTGGTTTGTTTGTTTGTTTTAGTATCCAGAAGCCATGAGTTGTTAACCCTTAGGCTCGGTATTATGGATATCGCAACCTTTCGGCCTTGATCCCATTGTAAATACCGTAAATCTGGGAGAAATGTGGCTTTTCTGCCTACCCCCGGGAGTGAACCCGGACCACAAGGAGTTTGTCACCCGCTCACTGTGCAATCCGGTTTAGCCAACTACGCTAGAGAGACGGGCGCCAGTGTAATAGAGACATGGTTTTATTCTTAACTTCCTCTCTGTTGCTGGTATTCATAACTCTGTCCCTTCTTGTGTTGTTTTAGTGACCCCACAGAGGCAGCACATTTCACAGGTCTTTATTTTATGTTCTAGTGCCTTATTCATACATTACTGCATTAAGATTTAACAATTGAGCATACAGTTTTAAGCAGCTGTGAGTGTTGCAGTGACCAGTTTTCACAAGTAGATAACAACAAAATGCAAGCCACTAAATCTCAAAATGGCCATGAAGATGCCATTCAGTTTGATTATTTGTGAAAAATTGAATTGGCACCTTTTTGCCTTTCCAAATGGTAGTGTTAGATTATCATGCCAGCAGTAAAATGTTTACATACTATGCTAGATGTAAAGAGGAAATATCGATTTAGGAATGATGATATCAGACGGAGAGTCGGCACAGAACCAATACTGAACTTTATAGGAAGACAAAAAATCAAACGGTTTGGCCATTTAACAAGATTGGTATCAGATAGGGCATCACAGAGAGTAGTGTTATACAGATACCATGGTAACAGAACCAGAGGTCAACCACACAGAAGATGGACCACAGAATTGTCAGAGACACTGTAAAGTGTTTTATATGAAGTTAACAGAAAGGCCAGTTCTAGAGATCTCTTCCTGCCCTGACGCACAAAGCCTGGCTAGTGTTGTTGAGACCATGTGTTGAATATCCAGCATGATCCCTCGCTCAGTCTGCTCAATTTATAAATCTTAATGTAGTAATGTATGAATACGGCTGAGAAACCTAATGCTTGTTTGCTCCAAGAAAAGGTAAAACCAAAATGTTTGCAGCATGCTTCAGAAGCAGGGCGAACTTCCGTTTTAAAAATGGCGGATGACAGCAGTGTTTTTTCTCGGTGGTTGTGATTTCTCTCGGGTTGTTCTGTTTCCTTATCAAGGACTGCTATTTTGTGTGCATTTTCAATGCAGGATACTATGTGTTTTTCCTGGTTGTGTTATGTCGGGGCAGGATAATGACTCATAGGTTTTTCAGCCCTGACCATGCTGCCTTCGCAATGTTTTGATCTCGATAGCCATTCAGGACGACAGAATCTCGTCAGCAGGGGACTGCAACTGTCTAGAAAGCAAACTTCATAAAACTCTTCCAAGAAACGGAATGTGCCAATCAATTTTTTTTTTGGGTGGGGAGGAATTAACTCCATGGCTAGAAGCAGGTCAGCTTCCCTCCTAGACCAGCTACCACCCAAGGCTAAGGGCCTGGTCTGCCCTACCATAAGCCATTAGGTTTTGAGGTTGCATTTCTTCTTTCTATGTTGAGGCTAGTATCCTGCCCAATGTGTTTCTCTGCCTGAAATTGTTGGCACAAGTGGGATATCAGGCGTAGTATTCACCTCTTAAGCATTAACAGAAAACATGTAGTACAGATTGTTGTTTTACAAGAAAGTAAATTGATGTCTTTGTTATTCAGGAATATGATATTATCAAAGTGAAATTTTCTGTGCATGAATACTGTTGCCCCCATACAAATACATGTGTTTTTACTACAGCCTTCTGCTGGCTTGAGAACCAGCTGCTTGTAACTTACTTAATAGCTTGTTCAGAAAGGTGTAGACAGGGATGCTGTGTGCAGAGTGGCAAGCATCGCTTCAGATGTTCCTGGATATTGTCTCTAGAATATGCCAGTGAGTTGGGCAATGAACAGGCAGACAGACTTGCTGGTTCTGCACCACTGGGTGGTAAATGGATGCATGACAAGCTAGATGTTGTAAAAGCCCTTTAGAAACAAGTGAAAAATGCAGATACCACTGTATCATAGGATCTGTAGAAAATGGTACAGCAGGGATCAGATTGACAACACTCAGGAGAAAGGCAAAATGGACATATAATCAAACCAATGCTTGTACCATTAGAATTGGAATGCATGCTGATGGAGCACTTATGAGAATGTCTTAAGTGCTGTGAAATCAGTTCAGAACACATTAGTAAATATGTAAAATGATTTGTGAAATTGCCAGTTTGTTACTGAGGTCATTGGATACCCACACACAATGTTCTCCTCCAGACTCACTTCGTCGCTACTCAAGAGAGTGACAATGTATCATGTTAAGACTAAGGACACAGGACAGAACACATAAGTAAAAGTAAAAAGAAGTAAAAGTAAATGACCCTTTTCCACGCCTTTAGGCATATAGGGCTAGACATATATTTTTATAGATCAAATGACACAAGATGGGTGATGTGGTCAACATGTCGCCAGCTACCTTTACTTCCCGGGACTGCACCCGCTACCCACTCAAGGCTGGGTCGACCTTTAAGTCAAGGTCACATTTGAAAAAAGTATGGCTTTGCCATAGGGCGAACCCACAAACTTCCAATCCGCACGTGAGCGTCTAGCAACATATGTTCCTTTTTTTTTTGGTATCGGAAACACAGAGATGTATTCATGCAACTTGGCACTTGGAAATACCTAGCATGTTCTCCAACACTGCAGACTGTATGCTGCTAACAGTGAGCCCATCTGGCCTGTTCGAACCTTATTTTAAAAAAAAACAACTAAGCTGTGCGGCACACAGAGAGGTTTGGACTGCCCAAAATCTTTCACAAAGGTTCCTGGTCTCCTGATGTAAGGCTTTCTTCATCTTCTTTACGTTGATCTGTTGTAAACTCTGGCAGAAAGTTCTAGATGTTTTTCCATTTTTGGCGTTTGGTCTTGTTCCAGAACTGGAATTTTGCATGCACATCTGTTTTGACAGATCTGGTTTATTTGTTTGCAAGCTGTTGGTTTCTCGCCTCTCAGGCAGAAGCACTGCGACTTCAAAGGAAACATCCCTAACTAGTCAGCTTGTTAGGAGGAAGTGTGTCAGCTCTTTCTTTCCCCGTAATGGAGTCCCAGAAACCCACTCAGGGATTGAGAGATGAAAGTCAGAAAAAAAGAATGTCCATAATGCAAACTGTTTATTTTCATAGCCTCTGCCAACCGTCTCATTTGTTATAAATTTTGTTTGCTGATTTTTTTGTCACTTTCTAGATATAAGTGCTTCTACGATCTCGTTACCAAAATCGAGAAAAATGAGGGCAGTCTGGAAAAATTTTCCAGAGGCTATCAAATTTTTGGTGTTCACCGCAAGGAGGATAATTCCATTGTTGCAACGGAATGGGCCCCGGGTGCTGCTGGGATGTATTTACGTGGAGACTTTAGTAAGTTTTTTTGAGTAGAGTTCTGTTTTTTTAATTATTTTTTTAATGGAGTAAATAAAGTCTTACTCTTAGTCTAGGTTTCAGCTTCACTGCAATCGGGTCACCCCATACTTGCTCCGTTCTTGTGCCGGTAAAAATAAAATGTCCCTCACTGTCCTGTTTGTAAAACGGTAAAGAAACAGCTAGTCCTGGCACAGTAAAAAAATATTTGCTTCGCAGTAAATGTGTAAGACGGTTGCTAGGGGAACCAAAGTAAACAGTCGTCGCTGCCAGAGATGCAGTTTGAAGTTGATGGAAGTAGTTAGTCCTGATAAGTTGGCTACACACACAAAAAGTTATTACATAAGGTATTTCACCAGCCCACGTGTAAAACGACCATTTATTTTAACTTCTTCACATCAGTTGAGATATTAAAAGAACTTACTTAGAAAGTACTTCTTCTTCTTCTTTGTGTTCACCAGCTGTACACTCTGGCGTAAAGTTCTGGTTGTTCGTCCACTACTGAACTGCAGTCATGCTCCAGAACCCGAGTGTTGCATGTGCATCAGTTTTACAGATCTGATTCAATTGAATGCAGACTGCTGGTTCCTTGCCTCTCAGGCAGATGCACTCCGACTTCAAAGGAAGCTCCCCAGTTAGTCGACTCTTACGACATGCTTTTGGGGAGGCAGTGGGTCTATTCTTGTTTTCCCCACAATAGGGCCCCGGAACCCACACAGGGGGTTTTAGAAAGTACTGACTTCTGAGCTAGTACTTAAAAAAATATGGCTAAACTCCTGTTGCGTATGTATGTTACTTTAACACAGTTACTGTCCTTGACGCATTAATGTCTTCCAACCATAACAGGCATTTCTGTATTTTAATAGTTATTTAAGGCTGAAAGAGCTAAGGTCAAGAGAAATGACTCTATAGCATCGGGTGTAATCCCATGTGGCCCAGTCATTTTGATGAGGTCACTAAAAATATTAACATTTAAAAAAAAACAGTTACTAAATGTCTAAATCGGGAAAAAAAATGTATTTATACATGAAGGGAAGTAATTACTACATACAAATTGAACAAAGAATTGATTTGCTTTTTCTTGACTATTTAGAAGTTATTTTGGTCTCTTTGCCATAGATAGCAGTTTGATGCATTAATATTATTTAATATAATTATCATGTCCCAATTTTGTATTTCTGTATGTGTCAAGTTGCCATATTGCCAGTATTTCTGTATGTGTCAGGTTGCCATATTGCCAGTATTTCTGTATATATGTCAAGTTGCCATATTGCCAGTATTTCTGTATATATGTCAAGTTGCCATATTGCCAGTGTTTTTATGATCTAGGAAAGACAATCTAAGCATTTCTGCCAGGTAACTGAAAGTAACGAAGACCAGATGTTATTTTGTTTATTGGTCTTTTTTTCAGACAACTGGGAGTTTGATGAGAAGTATGCATTTAGGAGAGGTGATTTCGGTCGATGGCATTTAACAATTGCTCCAAATCCAGATGGCTCCAGTCCTATTAAACATGAAAGCAAACTCAAGGTAACAGACATTTAGGCCCCTGTTTAGACTTTTTGTGCGGCGTCACTGGCTTGGGCATTGCGAGTCCGACTCGTAATTTGAATGTACTTCGATGGAAACCCACTGCTAGCTGCATAGATTTTTTTCGTAGTATGGGGCGTTGCAGGTCTACCCAGCCTAAAAAATGGGTACCAGGATGTATGACCTGGGAAAGTAAAGACGACGGCGTAATGCTGACCACATTATCCACCTAGTGCCTATTGGTCTGTAAAAATATGGGTGCTCTTCCCATATGCCCAATGTGCCTAAAGGCGTGAAAAGGGATCTTTACTTTTTACTTTTACTTAGTCTTTCTGTGATATAATTGACATTTATAATTTATGGAGGTTGACAGTTTCACCGCCGTGTTAGTAGGTCAACTGTGGAAATATTAAATATAACGAAAAAATGTGACTAGAAAGTACAACGGAGGAAATACAAAAAACACAAACACTGCCAAATATTTTGACCAAAGTCTTTATTTACAGAATACTAAATCCAGCACAGTGTGACTGGACAAGGACAACTCAATGGACAAGACAACAGAGCTAATTAAAAAAATAAACCAACGTCAAAATGAAACCATGAAGTGCATAATAAATGATAACGAAGGTAATGGACTTCAGTTACCCCTATTTACATCAACTAGGGGAAGCGAAGAAGAGTAAAATTGCACCCTACCAGGCATGTCCGAAGGAACATTAATGATTTGATTGGCTCTGGAGTGCAAGTATCATCATATGAACTAGAGTGACAGTTTTCTCATGTAATCATGATAGTTTATGTTATCTACGTTGTCATGTCAGGTTTGCTCATGCTCTGAAGGTCGTGGGTTTGTTTCATTGACCCATCATTCAGTTCATAGGTGCAATTTTTACGAAGATTCCTGGGGATTGTTGCTGGAGCAGTGGTGTTCGTGCTTTGTGTGACACTCTTGACAAGTGGATTACCTTTCTGCAGAAAGAGACCAAGCCTCATGGGATATAACTTGACGCAATGAAGTCGATTATCAAAACCTAAACTTGAACTTTTAACAGACATGTATTGAATTCTTGTAATTTCTTTGTCCTGACGAATATCTACATTCATTAACTGGTGCCTGCTCAGAATTGAAGGAATTCAATGGTATGATTGTATCACTGATGTAGAGCTTTGGGAGAGAACTAAGCAAATTGCATTGGGTCAAGAGTTTAGGAAGAGACACTAGTGTTGGACAGAACACGCGTTCAGAAAACTAGAGAACAGTATAGCCCTAGAACACATAGAGGCTTAGAGATAAGGGCAGACCACCAAAAAAAAAAAAAAAAAAACACAAGAAGGAAGAAACTAAAGAATAAAGTTAAAAAGATGGGGAGGATATTGGATGAACTGCATGGGGTAGCAAAGAATAGGACGACTTGGTATGCGTTTGTTGAGGGCCAAAGCTCCATTGGGGGATAAAGGGTAGAAGAAGAATATGAGTATCTAGCTTCTGATTTCTTATTTGAACAGGTATCTGATTATTTCTGATTTCTTATTTGAGCAACTATCTGAAGATTTCTGATTTCTTATCTGAGCATGTATGATTATGTCTGTTGTCTCATTCATTTATAGAATTTGACTTTGCTTGTGTCAATTTACTCATTTGTATTTGTACAGCTTTACTGCAGTTCAACCCTTTTCATTTCTTGTTTTACAGCTTGGTGTCAGGTTGCATAATGGAAGTATAGTTGATCGCATTTGTCCCTGGGCAAAGATGGTGGCGCGGCCGAAAACTGTGCCGATATTTGAGCAGATATTCTGGGATCCTCCAGAGAACCAGGTGAGTACGTATGTTTGGATAGTGTGATCTCTTATTCTGCAGTCTTGGGTGTTTTATTGGCTTTGGCCCATAAACTGGGATATCGGCTCACGGTCTCTTAGGTTTCCCCAAAAGCTTAGTTTGTCAGGTCTGCTGGACCTGGCTGCATGTTGCTTCCCCAGAAGAGGAGAGTTTTACTTGTTGCAGTAACATATTTTGAGGTGGGAAAAATGGACGTCCATTCTCTCAGAATTAAACAGAATCCGGCCAGAGATTACCACTACTTACTTGACTGGCATAGACAAGTCATGATTCCACAACTCAGGACACGGTGTAACAAACTTATCAAGCATATGTGCGTAGACTTTTTCTGAGTAGTGACCACTACTTACTTGACTGGCATAGACAAGTCATGATTCCACAACTCAGGACACTGTGTAACAAACTTATCAAGCATATGTGCATAGACTTTGTCTGAGTAGTTCACTATTGTGCTCGTATGAGCTGTGTGTACGAACTGTAGAACATGTCCTGCAAGTCTGTCCCTTGTAGAGCCTAAAGGCTGACACTATACTCAGGATTTTACCAAACTAAAAAACTTTAACAATTTAAAAAAAAAAATTTTACGAACTCATCTATCTTTGTAAATCAGAGAACGATCACAAGAAGAAGAAAAGACAAATTCTGAGGTTGGTTCAAAGTTTGCTCTTGAAATAAAATGGTTTGGTCATCTTGTTAGAATGCAGCCACAACAACTACCAACACAGATACTACACCTAACAAAACAACTGATGCGAGAACAAGGCAGCACCTAAGGAGAAGATGAGCTGCTGACAGAAAAGACATACACCCTGATGGAATGACAGTAGCCAGTGCTACCCATCCAGCATAGGAAAACAGACTGTCCCTCTCCACAACACTTAACACCAAAAGTGGAAGATCATGATGATGATGTAATCTTGAAGCTTCATTGGAAATCATGATAATTAGTAACTCTTCTATTTCTCTTTTGATTCCTTTGTTTTGAATTGTTTTTAAACTTTGTGTATGCAGTTTCAAAAAGTAACATATTTTCCATGTATAAGACATCCCCATGTGTAAGATGACCCTTATAGTTTTAGCCCAAAATTAGGATTACATATTTTAAACACCAGAAGGAACAACCTTGATATGGAAGGGGGAGGGAGGGAGGGTGTGGTGTGGCCGAGGAAACCGGTCACAAAGGACATTGTCTAGAAGGAAACTGCTTAGGTGGCACCAGGCCTGGGTTTGTCGTGAAGCTAGCATTGAGAAGGAAAAGTATATGGAAAATGGTATGTATTTTTTTTTTACATTTAATTGCAACATTCCAATTATAAGAGGATCTGCAATTTTAAACTTACAAAATGTTTGGGGAAGCGTTGTCTTTTACCCGGAAAAAAAATGGTAAATGCAATTGATGATTGGTACCTAATCTTCAAACTTGATGGAAATGGTGCTCTCGGATCTTTGCCCATTCAGCTGTGTTTACTCCAGGGCCAGAGGACCTAGCCCCAGCATAGAAAGAATCATTAATACAATACAGTACAACTGGCAGTGAACTGCGGGCCCACTGCTAGGCCTCTTCTTGCCAGATTTTACCTGTGGACCACCAGTTAAATAGCCCTGCCCTAGGATGTGTTCTGAGACACCATTTTTAGGGGTTTACAAAAAATAATAGCAGTGTCAGCTGCATACTTACTTAAACTTTCACCTTTAACACCATTGTTTTCGGCAGAGGTACAAGTTTAAAAATGCTCACCCTCGTCTGACGTCTGGTCTGAAGATTTACGAAAGCCATGTTGGCATTGCTTCCTGGGAAGGAAAAGTTGCCAGCTACAAAGAGTTCACACAGAATGTCATCCCGAGAATTGCAGATCTTGGTAAGTTCATTGGTGGCGTTGTAGTTAGTGTACAGTGGTTCATGTTCAGTCTACAGAAGGGTTAACCCTATCACTCCGAGAAGCCACAAACCCGCCACTTCCAGTTGGGTTCAGTCCCCCCTAAAAGTCGCTTTACTGACTTGTCTAGCTAATGGCATTGGTTCCATTTGCACATGTGCGAATGTTTAGGATGACCGGGAATGATTATATTTGCTAAAAATGTAGGTGGGGTTTTGTTGTGCAAATGTGGCCTTGTGTATAGAAATTATGATGTCATAATTTCCCTTTAGTCCTAGTGGTAACCATGCCACGGAGTCAGGAAGAGTCACAATACACATTTTTTTTAATAAGCTGAAAGGGATGTAGCCCCGCTAATTCTCTGTTGCCTTGGTGCTTATTGATTATTCCTGTTATTATGTATGGGATTTAGTATTTTTTGAATTGTTAGAATTTGTTTTGTGACCTATGTAAAATTGTTGTGTTTTTTTCTCAACGAAATTTTTTTGGGGGGGGGGGGGAATTACCGAAATACAGATCATTGGCTTTGTTTGTTTTTCTTTTCAGATCACCAGGTGTTAAAAGGTTGAGATTCTATTTTGTCCCCCAGAACTGCTTCGGGTCGACCTAAATGCAGTATTGGGTCTGCGTAATTTTAAGGCTTTTCTGTGATATGCCGAAGAGGATGAAGAGAATTGGTCATTAGCAACTCTTGTTGTGGCCTTCATAATGGGAAGGTCCAACAGAAGTCTAATGTGGAGCTGGTGAAGGTGAGCTATACAAATCCTAAAGAATCAAGAGATGAGATAAAGATAATGGTTTTGAATAAAGAGACACAAAGAGACATCCTGTAATAATACACCTAGATGGCTCTTGCTTTGGAACCCACAAGGACAAATGCAGGCAGACCAAAAAATTACAAGAAGAAGAGAATTTGAGACTGAGATGGGAAGAACATGGCGTGAGCTGATTAATTTGCCAAAGGATAGGAGGGTGGTCTAAGAAAGTTCCCTTGAAGCATGGAGGACAGAATCAGAAGGTTAACAGAATGTATTTTTGACTGGGATGCAGAAGTGCTGAACTGCTCGTGGTGGTGCACCTGGACCAGACCTAAAACTGGTCAAGACCTGCCTATACTTCTCCACCATTGTCCTGGAAACAGAGCTCCTGGCCAGTGTAGATAGGATCAACCTTTTCCTTGAAGCCAGAGTGCATCTGCCTGAGAGATGGGGAACCACCAGTCTTAACATAAAAAAGCTAGGTCTGTCAGATGAATGTGCACACAAATTTCAAGTCCAAGGACAAGGTTAAGCCCAGAAGTGGACTAACAACCAGGACTTTCTGCTGGAGTTTTCAGCTGGTCAACACTAAGGAGAAGAAGAAGAAGAGTGTGATGCTGTGTTGCTGGCCGCCCATTCTTCAGAGAAACACCAAGTTATATGGAGTATAACCCACTGCAGTGAAATCGACTGGCTCACCTGTAAACTATTCTTTTCTTTCGCTTGCAGGCTACAATGCGATCCAGCTGATGGCAGTGATGGAGCATGCTTACTATGCCAGTTTTGGATATCAGGTGACCAGTTTCTTTGCAGCCTCGAGTCGCTACGGCAACCCCGAGGAGCTGAAAGAGCTGATTGATGTAGCACACTCAAAGGGCATCATCGTGCTGCTGGATGTGGTCCACAGCCATGCTTCCAAGAACACTGTGGATGGTCTGAACCAGTTTGATGGAACAAACTCTTGTTACTTCCATGATGGTCCCAGGGGAACCCACGACCTGTGGGATTCTAGACTGTTCAACTATACTGAGTGAGGAAGACAGTTATCTTTGTGTTGTTGCCATGACAAAATGTGAATCAAACAGGAAGTAGAATACAGTTGTCTTTGTGTTGTTGCCATGACAAAATATGAATCAAACAGGAAGTAGAATACAGTTGTCTTTGTGTTGTTGCCATGACAAAATATGAATCAAACATGAAGTAGAATACAGTTGTCTTTGTGTTGTTGCCATGACAAAATATGAATCAAACATGAAGTAGAATACAGTTGTCTTTGTGTTGTTGCCATGACAAAATATGAATCAAACATGAAGTAGAATACAGTTTTCTTTGTGTGTGTGTTGTTGCCATGACAAAATATGAATCAAACAGGAAGTAGAATACAGTTGTCTTTGTGTGTGTTGTTGCCATGACAAAATATGAATCAAACAAGAAGTAGAACTAGCCGGCTTTACATTATCACAATCACGAATGACAATTGAATATTTTTGCCTAAAAAAAACACTTTCTTCAGCATATGAACAAATTGACCATCAGGTTTTGGGGCCCCATTTTGTAGGAGAAACAAAAGAATAGACCCACTGCACCTCTGACAAGCATGTCGTAGGTGGTGACATCATTAGGGGCTGTTTTTCTCAAAGTCAGATTGCATCTGTTCGAAAGGTGAGGAGCCAGCAGTCTCAACTCACTCAGTTGAGTGCGGATCAGTCTTTACAAGTCTGGATCTAGCACAGGATACCCAAGAAGCTAAAGGGTGAAAAGTCATTGTTGAATCAATCAGGTGCCATCTCCACAACAAAGGTTGCCTACAGTAGATCTCCAACATGCCCTGTCTCTTGTCCTGGTTGTACACTCTCTCAGACTGCTGCCCATCCATCTCTTGATGTTGTCCTCCCACTTGTATTGTCTACCTCTTGCTCTCTCTCCTTTGACTTTTCCCTCTGTTTTTTTTTATAAGAGTAATAAGTCTTTCAGTGGGACCCAAATATTTCAACTGTCTTTGTTTTTTTAAAAACCTTTTTCAGTAGATTTCATTTCATTTCTCCAGAACATTTGTATTTAATAGTGTTTGTTTCCATGAAAAGTGACCTATTCTTATGTATATCCACATCTCCAGAGACATTTAAATTTTTTAGGTAATTGTTTTGCTTTACTTTAAACTGGGATTTACTACCACACAGGAAGTGTTGTTACCTGCAGTTTCATTTGTTCTTGCAGGTGGGAAGTGTTACGGTTTCTGTTGTCCAACCTGAGGTGGTGGATCGAGGAGTATCGCTTTGATGGTTTCCGCTTTGACGGTGTTACATCCATGCTGTATCACTCTCATGGAATGGGTAAGTGCAAGTAATCTTCTTCTTCTTCTTCTTTGTACTAGCTGTAAACTCTGGTGGAAAGTCCTGGTTGGACTCTGGCTTTGTTCCAAGGCCTGAGTTTTGTATGTACATCCGTTTTACTGGCTTATTTGTATGCAGTTGATTGTTCCTTGCCACTCAGGCAGATGCACTCCTGCTTCTAAGGAACCCCTCAATTAGTCGACCCCTACGACATGCTTGTTGGGGAGGCAGTGGGTCTATTCTTTATTTCACAACAGTGGGGCCCTGGAACCCCCATGGAGAGTACAAGTGATCACGGTAGTGAATGAGTAATACTCGTTTACCTGATGTGGGACTTTTAGTGTTGACACATCTGACGGCTGCCTTATGCATTACTCTTCTGTGTTGGTTCCGGGACTGCATAGTTCCCCTAACAAGCATGTTGTAGGAGATGAATAATTAGGGGTGTTTCCTTCAATGTCGGAGAAGAAGGGAACCAACAGTCAGCATTAAAATTAGCCAGATCTGTTAAACAGATACGCACGCAACTCAAATTCTGGATCACGATCAGAGTTCAGGAATGGATGAACAACCATAATTTTCTGCCTGAGTTAACAGCCGCTGAACACTAAGAAGAAGAAAAAAGCAAGTGGGAGGAAGGCGAGAGGAATATCAAGATGCATTTACTTTGTGTGTGTGTGCTGCCACAGACGAGTGTTTCACTAGTTTCCGAATGGAACAGTGAAGGACATTTTGTGTGATTTCCCCGGGCACAGGCAGGGAGCAGCTATGGGGAACCTTCTGCTGGGAAGTTGGAACCTCGACTAACGACTGACTTGGGTGTGGATGGGGTTCTATCCGTGTTTATATTTGTAGATTAGAGATTTTCAAATGGTGGCATGTGGGGCAAAGCTGGCCCTCGGAAGCCTGGCAAGTGGCCCGCGGATCACCTGCCTGTTGTATTAATGATATTTCTATTCTGGTGCTTGGGCGCCTGGCCCCTCATTTTCCAACATTTTGTCCCCTGTGTCAACTTTGTTAAAAAGCCCTGATGGAGATGATGCCCTTTACATATTCATTGATGTAGATGGTGTTATTTCCACACTCATAGATATGTCATTCATCTGTGTCAGAGTTGATTGAAAGTACATGAGACAGAAGGTTGTAGATAGACATGACTACCAATGCCACATGGCATGGACTTTAAGAAGAAGAACAGTATGTAAATGTTGCTGTATCCATATTTATGGATGTGGATAATGGCGAATTCCTGTTTGTGGAAGTCAGCGATGTTGAGTCTATGTTCAGAATGTGCATGATGCTGTGTGAATGATCCACGTTCATGGATGTGGAGGATGTTGTATTCATGTTATGGATTGAATGATGCTGCATCCATATTCTTGTAAGTGGATGATGACGTATCCATGTTCAGTTTTGTAAAGACTGACCAGGACAGCAACTTTCTTCTGTTTCATCGTCTTTTCCTCTAGTTTCTTCGTCATCATCATTATCTTGTATCCTGTGTGGCAAAGGCACTCATGTATCTTCACAGATCTTGGTCCTTTGAATCAATTCTGCTTATGATATTTTACCACGCCATATTTTCAGACCACCAAGCATCGTCTCTCGTGGTCTGCCTCTGCCTCTTCTACTGTTAATCTTTCCACTCGTCACAAAGTTCTCCAATGCCTCTCCACTCATCACATGACTAAAGAACACTGACTGCTTCTTTCTTATCTTTGTATGTAGTCTTCTTCTTTCATTAGTCAGGCAGTCTTTGCTAATCACTCTGACCATCACAGCAGTCAGGATATTCCTTTACTCGCTCCATCCTCATCTTCAGCAACCAGCAGAGAGTTCTGATGGTACAGTTAGCAGTTTGATTATATATGCGTTTTGCCTTTCCTCTAAGTTTATAGTGCTGGTCGTGAGGCTGCACGGCTTAGAGGCTAGCTTGTGTAAAAGTAAAGTAAAAGTCCCTTTTCCACGCCTTTAGGCATATAGGGCTAGACCTATATTTTTTTAGACTAATAGTCACAAAATTGATGATGTGGTCAGCATCACCCCGGCCGCCTTTACTTCCTAGGACTGCACCGGGTACCCACTCAAGGCTGGGTCGACCTGGGAGTCAAGGTAATTTTTGAAAAAAGTCTGGCTCCTGCAAAGGAGCGAACCCACGACCTTCCGATCCGCACCCGAGCATCTGGTCGCTATGCCCCGCTGACTTCCTTAGAACCTAGCGAATGCGGTTAACAGTTTCATGACCCTGGAGTACTGTAATTCTTTACTCTCTGAGACCTCAAGAAATTGTTTGGCCTGCCTACTGAAGTCCAGGACTCACAGCCAGACTAAATGGTGAAGATGAAACCTGCAAGAAGTTGAACAAATCTATCACTCAAGCTACCTAAGAAGCGCAAGACAAATACAGAAAACCACAACACTGGGTTACAAATTGGTAACAGTGAGACGACAAAAGAAATAAAATTATAACATTAAACATATATTTCTAAGCAGATTTTCTTTGAATGTGTTGCAGGACATGGGTTTAGTGGCCACTATGATGAGTACTTTGGTCTGAACACGGACACAGATTCACTTGTCTACCTGATGGTCTCCAACCACTTGTTACATTCCCTGTATGCCGACTTCGTTATCACGGTAGCTGAGGTAATGGCTGATTTTTGCTGCTGACATGGCTGTTTAAAAACATGTAGAACTCTTTGACTCTGTTGCTTTAAAACCAAGTTGCATGATTTTAATTGCAGTGTTTTTTCAGTTTTAGCATCATCATCATCATGTGGTAGATCCTGAAAGAAACTCTTTCGCCAACTTTCTGCCTCATGCACATTCATACTCAAGGATTTGCTTATATCCTGTGCCCATCTATGTGCAGGTTGGCCCCTGGCACCATGCTTTCTGCTGTTATTCTTTTCCAATCCACAGTAGTGCTTGAAAAGCCATAATATTTCAGCTTCAGAGAAAAGATGCTTTTTTATTAGCCAGGCTTTTTTATGTTCAGGTCTTTTAGGATGTCACTATTTCCTTTTATTCTTTGTTCTTGGTAATCTGAGAATTTTTCTGTAGCATTTCAGCTCAAAAATCCTGCGATATATGCAAATGAAAGTTTGAGAACCATTAAAGTCATGGAACAAAAGTTAAATGCATTGAAAAACATTGGCCCAAGGAAATTCTTGAACATTAATTGGGATGAAAAAGACAGGTGAAGAAATAAGAGAAATGTCTGCATAACTGCTTATGTTGTCAGTTATAAGACAAAGAAGGTGGTCAAATATTGGGTACGTCACGAAGAGAAAAGGACAGATAATCACCAAACAAGAACTGAAATGTATTGAAGAAACGAGAATGACTAAGAGAAATCCTGAGTCTAACATTCTTGAGGGAGGACAAAGCTGCTGGATAGTATTCCATCCATGATATTGAGAAGAATGCGCAGGAAATTAAATGAAGGACAAAACTGTTGGCCTTATGTGGCATAATGGCAGAACAGGACAATAACATTTGTCTTGCTTTTTTTATTATTTAATATTTTGTTTTTTAATTTTTGATGTTCATTTATTTTATTTTATTCATAATTTGTAGGAATTCATTTATGATAGTGTGGTTTCATTTATAGTTGTGTTAATCCATTTATGATTTTAATTTTAGTTTTGTGATTTCATTTATAGCAGTAAGATTACACTTTTTTTTTAAATATTGTGATTTCATTTATAATTCTATTTTTAACTATGTGATTTCATCTGTAGCTGAAAGATATAAGTTTTATTTGTGTGATGTCATTTATAACTAAGATTACATTTTTAATTGTGAGGGTTTATTTGTAGCTGTAAAATTACAGTTTTAATTGTGTAATTTCATTCATAGCTGTGATATTACACTTTTAGTTGTGTGGTTTCATTCTAGCTGTTAAATGTAATGTTGACTTGTGTGGTTTCACTCATATTTTTAAAATTACATGTTCAGTTGTGTGATTTCATTCATAACTGCAAAATTACATATTTAAATGTGTGATTTTATTCATGTCTGTAACATTACGTTTAGTTGTGTGATTTCATTCATATATGTAAAATTACATGTTTAATTGCCTGATTTCAGTCATAGCTGTAAAATTACATGTTTAATTGTGTGATTTTATTCATATCTGTAAAATTACATGTTTACTTGTGTGATTTTATTCATGTCTGTAAAATTACATGTTTACTTGCAGAATTTCAGTCATTGCTGTAAAATTACATGTTTAATTGTGTGATTTCATTCATATGTGTAAAATTACATGTTCATTTATGTGATTTCACTCATATCTGTAAGATTACACTTTTAAATTTGTCTGGTCTCATGTATAGTTGGGTATAGTTTAGGGGCTTCTCATATATTTGCGAACTCAGTATAGTTTTGTGATCCTGTTATTGTAGCAATAGTTGTTTTTGGTAGAAGAGGAAGGGTTTTAACAACAGTTTTGTTTGTCCAGGAAGTATCAGGCATGCCATTGCTTTGTCGACCGTTGATTGAAGGTGGTGCTGGATTTGATTACAGACTTGCAATGGCCATACCTGACGTATGGATAAAGGTTAGTCCCTTTTGTAAGACTTTCTAAAGTGAACGGTTTAAGAACATGCATCCTTCTTATGGCAACATATGGATGTGAGACAGAGCCATTTCACAATCACTGGGATATTGTCTCTTCGATGTGCTGACTGGTTGCTAGGGGTTTGTTCATTTGAAAGACATGAATGACATTCTGAATGCACACAGTTGGTAACGTGTAGACGATATCCAGTTAATAAACTTTATTACAGTTTCACAGGTGATCTGGTCTGGTCAGCGTCTACTAATACAAGCAGGTCCAGCAAGATAAGATGACATTTATCAGGCATAAAATTTACATCTTCTCTCGTTCACACTCATGACCTTTCAGTCCTGTTTCCTCACATACAAAATACACACAATGGTTGATCCGGCAGTTCTGATCATGGCGGTTTGACTTCTTGTTCGGTTGAAACTGGTTGGCTGCCACTTCGGAAGACTCATCTTGCGGCCTTCTCTCAGAACAGAACCTCTTACGTCATCATATAGACGCTGTCACATTCATCTATCAGATGGAACCTTTTACCCCAGCTGCCAAACACATACTCACTGATTGGGCCTTTGTCTAACCTTACAACCCCTGTTTTGGGTTTCACGTGCTGGTCTGAGCCCTGCTAGAAAACCTTGTGTTTCTGCGAGTATTCATGTTCTCATGTGTTTCTGTCTTATCTCGGGGTTTACTCAAATAATATTGATTACAAAAAAATACAATTGTTACATAATCCCCCTACCCATGTAAAAAAAAGAAAACAGTTTACTCTTTTAACTTTTTGTTTCTTTTGTTATGTTAACCGTCATGAGTTCATTTAATGTAATGATTTGAGTATTTTTACTGTTATCTTTGGCAAAAGTTATTGTTAACCCTTTGGGTTGATCATGTTTTCCATTTGGAACATCCTCAGTCGTTGTGCCCAGTGTGTACTGTGTAGTTTAATGGAATCAACACCCCAAGACACTCTGAAATTAGTGTGAAAGACCATATAGGCTCTGCACACCCCAAGACACTCTGAAATTAGTGTGAAAGACCATATAGGCTCTGCACACCCCCCATCCCATCCCACAGTCTGCCTACAGACAGAACATCACCCCAGGGCACCCCAAAATTTGGTGCGGAAGTCCATAACAGCTGTAGAATGGAAATGTGAATCAGCAAAGTTTCACCTTTGCTACTGCACTCACTGAGCACCCACTGATGTCCATTTCAATTGGATCATGTTTCCCTCTATAGGAGCTATGACCCAATCACCATTACTTCAAGTAATATCCCTTACCCAATTTTACCTTAAAAATGAACTCTTTGTCTGACTCTTGCATCTTTTCCCTCAAATCTTTTGATGTTATGCCTGGAATGTTATACGCATTGCAAGGCATTCTTTCTGAGTAGGCAAACCAGATATTTACTTCTATATAAGTAAAGTAATTTTGCTTTTCCATCGACTTCTTTTCTTATGATTCCATTCTGAAATTTTCCCCGTGTGGGTCTCAGGGCCCCGTTATGGGGAAAACAAGAATAGACCCACTGCCTCTCCAACAAGCATGTCGTAGGAGTCGACTAATTGGTGGGGCTTCATTCAAAGTAGGAGTGCATCTGCCTGAGCCGTAAAAAACAACCAACTGCACATAAATAAGTCAGTAAAACAGATGTACATGCAAAACTCGGGTGCTGGCACAAAGTCAAAGTCCAAATGGACAAACAACCAGGTCTTTCCGCCGGTGAACAAAGAAGATCAGATTCTAAAATTTGAAGATAAAGGATTTCAAATATTCAGAAAGATAATTATTTTATATGGTAATTTTTATTGTCATTTTAGACCCTGAAGCATTCGTCAGATGAAGAATGGGACCTGGATGTAATTATACATACGCTGACCAATCGTCGATACGGTGAGAAATGCATCGCATATGCTGAGAGCCATGACCAGGCGCTGGTAGGCGATAAGACTATTGCATTCTGGTTGATGGACAAGGACATGTACACACACATGTCGGTCGTTAGTGGAGATAACCTGGTCATCGACAGAGGCATAGCTCTGCACAAAATGATACGCCTCATTACGATTGGTCTCGGTGGAGAGGCTTATCTTAATTTCATTGGTGAGTTATTTGTGCTGTTGAGTTACAGAAAAATTATGTGCAATCTTTCATTGTCGACATGAGGAAAAAAGTTCTTAACAGTTACTTGGTTAGTTAGTTGGGTTATCATTGCACTCTGGACATGTCCATAGGTGCTCACATCCTGCCCTTAGTATGAACTCTAGCATCCGATGGCTAATTGTACCAGTTGTATGTTCAGATCAGCATAGCAAAAAACAAGACCTCACACCAGGCACATTAGAGGACTTGTTAATCAAGAGCTATATAGAATAATATTTGATTAGTGGGAGATGACATTAAAAATGATAAAAAAATGTAGCATAATCAGAGGAAAATTCGCTGAAAGTTTTATTTGAAGAAATTGTCTGCATTTGCCCTTGAGAGGAGGGTTGACAGATAGTATTGTTTTTTACAGCTAGGCTGTGATATCTATACCTTTCGGCCTAATTCATCCAATTTCACCAAACCATGAGTCATGTCTTATGGCATGCTTGTTGGGGGAAGAAAGGAGAAAAGGGGGGGGGGGGGGGTTGGGTTATTTCCTCTGCCCCCTGCTCCTCCTAATAGGGCCTGAGAACCCACGTGGGAAGGAATAAATGAAAGGAATTTGGACGAGCAAAAAATATTTTGGGGGGGGGGGGGGGGGGGGGGGGGGGGGGGGGGTTAATTAACCAAGTACGATTGAGGAAAATGTCCATACCTCAGTAGTCCTTTTGTTTTGTGGAGGCATAATTTTGATTAGGACTACACCAATGCAAGAAACACATTAATACTTTTATTTGGCAGCTAAACTCAGCCGTAGATCCTGCTGACAAGACAGTCTGCATTCAACTTAGAAAATGTATACAATGAGAGTAAATAATTATAAAGAGAATAGAACATATATAAAAGAGAAGTTATAAAGAGAGGAAATGCAAATAAAGAGAGAAATTTATATAAAGATAGTAACCATCCCAAAAAAAAAGAGGTTATAGAGGTAAATAAAGAGAGAAATGTATATAAAGATAGGAAATTATATAAAGAGAGGAGAACATCTATAAAAAAAAGAAGTTATAAACAGAGGAAATGCATATAAAGAGAGAAAATGTATATAAAGAGAGGAGAATATCTATAATAAGAGAAGTTATAAAGAGAAAAACTATAAAGAGAAAATTTTATTAAAAGTGAGGAAATGTTTTTTTTTTTTTAAACGAGGAAAACATTTAAAGAGGATAATGTATATAAACATAAAAATGTACACAAAGAGGAAATTTATATAAAGAGAGAAAAACATTAAAAAAAAAGTAGAATAATATGTATAAACTAAGAAAAATGTAGATGAAGAGAGGACAATTTCTGTAGAGATGAGATATTTACATGAAGTAAAGAAATTTATATACAGGAAGATTTATATAAAGAAGGGAAAATAAACATCAAGTTTCTTGGTAAGGAAAAGATAAATTGTCTGAGAAAAGAATGTGCATAAATGTTAGACTAGAGGAAATTAACATACTGTGTGATTAAGGGAATTTGTCATGAAATATGATGTTTATATTTTATTTCTGGCAGGAAATGAATTTGGTCACCCAGAGTGGCTGGACTTTCCTCGAATTGGCAACAACGAGAGCTTCCACTACGCCCGAAGGCAGTTCAACCTTGTGGATGACAAGAATTTGAAATATCGCTTCCTGAACAATTTTGATCGAGCGATGATCCACTTGGAGTCCAAGTACAACTTCCTGCAGCACCACCAGGTGAGTCATGTGACAGTTTGAAAGTCATGGGTGTGGGCTCTGGTTATCTGGCTGGGGTCTGTTGATAATGTTAGTTAGTTAGTCAACAGATTATTCCCATTGTACATTGAACCATTCATTCCTTCTCTCGAAGTCAGAGTACATCAGCCAGTGAGGCAGGGAACAAGAACTGCACACAAATAAGCCAGTAAAACGGATGTACACGGATGTACACAAATTAGGTCCAGGTTAAAGCCAAAGGTCCAAATGGACGAACAACTTGGACTTTCTGCCAGAATTCACAGTCGGTGAACAAGAAGGAGAAGAAGAACCATTCAGTCCATAAGTGCTTGGATCCCCTCTTTAGTAAATCCCGCAGCATATAGCGACTGATGACACCAGTTCTGTGTTGGTTTCTTATTCTTCTTTGGCTTCCTGCATATTGTTCTTGTCTGACCACACCCTTTTTAACATGTTGCTCTTGCAGTCTGGTCATGGTTGCAGATTCACAGTCACTACTTGGTTCTCGCAAACGTCTTACTTCTCGCATTCAGAAAATCTGACTTGTCCATGGCTCATCCGCCCTTCACAGAAGCTTTACAGGCAAGACTGTCAGCTTGCTCATTTCCTTGAACACCTGCATGCCCTGGCACAAATATGAAACTGATATTATGTTAAATTTGACCGCTCTAGAGACTCAAACAACTGTTTTCTGATCCAGCCCTTCTCTTACTCCCTAAACGAATACATGGAGTCACTAAGAAAGCATGCATGGGAAAAGGTCTGTGTCTTCAGCATGTTATTGTTTTGGTCACTGCCCTGACCTTCATAGTCAGTCAGGCTACTTGTGGTCAAGGCAACAGCACCAGAATCTTGCTGCATAGTTCTAATTTCAACCTAGGCCTTAAAAGTGTGTTGATAATGACATACCCTAATATTACTTTAACCATAATTTCTTGAGCTGAAAATGGGACATCCTGCTAATATTTTGAGCTGAAAAGAGGACATCCCAAACAACTCAGTTTAACCCCACCCCCTTTTTTCTAAGTCACAGGGGTGAAAGGGTTAATTGTTTGATAATGGTATTAAAATCCGAACCATTGTTGCCAAGAAATAAACGAAACAAAATGCTCTTTAACTGCACTAGGGGGAAGGCTTCAGTGAAAATTTCAGGCATTTAAATTATCGACGACTGTGAAATTTTATAAGGTCTACAGAAATAACTAAAGTATAGGTGTTGTATTCTCAAACAGATTCCTAGATATGTACCCTCTTCATCTTCACTTTCACTGGCTGTAAACTCTGACAGAAAGTTCTGGTTGCTTGTCCACCTCTGGACTTTAGTCTTGTTCCAGAATCTTATTACGTGCACATCCTTTTAACAGATCTGACTTAATTGTATGCAGATTGTAGGTTCCTCGCCGCTCAGGCAAATGCACTCCCACTTTGAAAGAAGCCCCCAATTAGTGGGTCTATTCTTGTCTTCCCGACAATGGGGTCCCGGATCCCACACAGGGACTAAATTTCTATTAAAAAAACTGGACATTTGCCTTTTTTTTTTTTAAAGAACCGGTGAGACGGCCGGGGCACAACTAAAGAAGCCAAAAAAAAACTGGACTCCTGGTGAAAACTAGATGTATGGGATAGCCATGTGCCATGCTTAACAGTAGATGAAAGTCAAGGGGACTTCGTAGGAAGACAGAACTCACAGTATATATATTACAGTAACACCTAGGGAATGCAACACTACAACACTTAGTTTAGTAGAATCGCAGCGGGTATTCCTCATAAACTAGAGGCTTTTCAAAATAAATGTTTGAGAAAAGTCCTGCAAATATTTTGGCCAGACAAATGAACTGAGGAAGAAAACAAAATGTTCACCACTGGCAAATATTAACAAAGGGAGAAGATGAGATGGCTTGGGCATGTCTGCAGAATGGCTGACAACACTTAGGCAAGTACAGCTCTCTGGTGGACATCGGATGGGAAAAGGGGGATGCCAGGTGACCTAAGGAAAACTGTTGGAGGATGGTAAACAGAGAAATGGACTGTAAACGGACATAGAATACCTTGGGCAGAAAAGCTGCCGATATGCAGCAATGGAGAACACTTAGGAATGCCTTATGTGTGAACAGTGATTTAAAGAGAATATAGTTGTGTACTAAGTTATGATTCTTGTTCTTCTTCCTGCTTCTTCGGCATTCACCCTTAAAGGAGTGGTTAGCACATTATGTTGCGGTTTCCTGCTAAGCTGCAATATCTGCACCTTTGATACCAACACATTAGATTTCAGTCAGAAAACTCCTAATTAAGTTTTATCACATGCTTGTTGGGGAGGGGGGGGGATGGGTCTGTTATCCCCCCCCCCCCCCCCCCCCAATGAGGACCCCCCCCCCCCCCCCCCCCAGACAGGGTTGCCTCTTCAGCGATCTCTGGTCATGCTCATAATCCACTGTAGGTCATAAACTGGACTGGGATGTCATCTCAAGATCTGTTAGGTTTCTCCAGAGCTTAGTTGCTAGGTCACATGTTGCTCCACCAAGAGAGGACAGTCTTGTAAGATATGCTCTGGAGTTTGTTCAGCTCGAAGACACTAGCAGAGCTCATAGCTAATTTATATGGGTGTTTGTTGAGTCTGCAGTGTTCAGTGCGTAAGGAAAAGTTGCTTAATTAGGGGAAGAGAGAATTGACTTGTCTGTTGTTGTTTGTTGTGTGGACTAGTCAGCACTTGGCGGGTGATGTGGTCAACATTACACCGACTGCCTTTGCTTCCCAGGACTTTGCCCAGAACTCGTTTGAGGCTGGGTCAAACTGGGAACCAAGGCCATTTTTAAAAAAATTATCAGGCCCACCAGGACCTAAACCCACCCTACAGATCCACAGGCGAGCGTCCAGCCGCTTAACCATGACCACGGCAGCCTTAACCATGACCACGGCAGCCTTAACCATGACCACGGCAGCCCTAACCATGACCACGGCAGCCTTAACCATGACCACGGCAGCCTTAACCATGACCACGGCAGCTTCTCTTATGTTGTATATTCTCTTAAATGCAGTATTTAATTACATATCTGTTGTGTTTATCCATTTGTATATTTTTCTTTGAAAAAGTAATTCAAACCTCACAAAGTACAGTAAAGATAATATTTTTATGAATTGTAAAAGAAAAATGAATATCTACAGTGAATACAGCACACCAAGCACATATTGAAATCGATGATGAAGAGATTGAAAATGTCACAGATTTGGAATATTTTGGCTCAGCAGTGAACAGCGATACTGACTGTATAATAGAAGTTAGGAAGTCAGAAAATGTCTTGCTTTAGCGATGAAGAGGTTAAACGACATGAAGGACCTGTGGCACAGCAACTGCAACCCTGTTAAAGTAAACATTTTGAGATCCTGCATCTTTCCCTTGACAACTTATGGTAGTGAATCATGGACTTCTACTAAATCTTTGAAGTACAAAATGTGTGAGCGTTTGAAGTGAAATTGATTCAGGCGAGCCTCTAGCCGCTACACGACAATGACTTCCTTTGCTGCAGACAAATTCTTACCATGGATCAAGAAGAGGACAAACACTGACATCCTACCTGATCTAAACATCAATGAAAATTGGCTCATTAACAGCATCCTGTCATGAAAGCTAAGACATTTTGGCCATGTTAAACGTCATGCTGGCCTGGAGAGAGTGCAGTGATGAAGAGTGTGCTGGGACTTTCCAAGGTATATCTAGACCCCTCAGTTGTCATCAGGGCTACATATGATCAACGTTTTCTTTGAAGTCAGAGGGCATCTTCTTGGGAGGTGAGCAACCAGCCATCTGCAAGCTAATGAGCCAAATCTGTTCAAGAGATGTGCATGCAGATCTCAGGTCCTGGAATAAGACCAAAGTCTAGACATGGATGAACAACCAAGATTTCCTGCTGGAGTTTACAGCAGGTAAATGCAGGGAAGAAGATGGAGAAGATGGTTGCATGTTTCAGTTAGTTCTGGTTTATTACATTTTTTTTTTTTTTTTCAGAATTACGTGAGTCTGAAACACCAGGATGATAAAGTTATTGTGTTTGAGAGGGCAGACATCCTTGTGTTCATTTTTAACTTTCACCCAAACAAGAGTTACGCAGACTACAAGATTGGAGTTCAGGTTCCTGGCACGTATCCTTATTTCTTTCATTTATTTTGTATTACATACAGTAGGGAAAATATTGTAAATTTCTGTACGCATTATACAGCCATCTGATCACAGATGAGGGTTTGTTGAAAAGTTTAGTGCTTCCATATGGATGAGTTTAGATGTATACCTAGAAATTTGTTTAAATATTAATCCATTTCTGTGTGGTCATGCCTCCAAATGGTTTACTTCTCCCATATATTCTCCACCTTCCTGTTTGTCTCATGCATTAATAGATCATTACTGTCTGAAAAGAATGGGGCACGGGGTGTGACAAGAAGATCTAGCCAATACTCAACACTCAGAGGATCTGTCTGACACTCAACACTCAGAGGATCTGTCTGACACTCAACACTCAGAGGATCTGTTTGACACTCAACACGCAGAGGATCTGTCTGACACTGAACACTCAGAGGATCTGTCTGACACTCAACACTCAGAGGATCTGTCTGACACATAACAAACAGAGGATCTGTCTAACACTCAACACAGAGGATCTGTCTGACACTCAACACAGAGGATCTGTCTGACACTCAACACAGATGCTCTAACACTCAACACAGAGGATCTGTCTGACACTCAACAAAGATGCTCTGTCTAACACTCAACACAGAGGATCTATCTGACACTCAACACAGAGGATCTGTCTGACACTCAACACAGAGGATCTGTCTGACACTCAACACAGAGGATCTGTCTGACACTCAACACAGAGGCTCTGTCTAACACTCAACACAGAGGATCTGTCTGACACTCAACAAAGATGCTCTGTCTAACACTCAACAAAGAGGATCTGTCTGACACTCAACACAGAGGATCTGTCTGACACTCAACACAGAGGATCTGTCTGACACTCAACACAGAGGATCTGTCTAACACTCAACACAGAAGATCTATCTGTCACTCAACACATAGGATCTATCTGACACTCAACACTCAGAAGATCTGCCTGACACTCAACACTCAGAAGATCTGCCTGACACTCAACACGCAGAGGATCTGCCTGACACTCAACACTCAGAAGATCTGCCTGACACTCAACACTCAGAAGATCTGCCTGACACTCAACACGCATAGGATCTGCCTGACACTCAACACTCAGAAGATCTGCCTGACACTCAACACTCACAGGATCTGCCTGACACTCAACACTCAGAGGATCTGTCTGACACTCAACACTCAGAGGATCTGTCTGACACTCAACACTCAGAGGATCTATCTGACACTCAACACTCAGAGGATCTATCTGACACTCAACACTCAGAGGATCTGTCTGACACTCAACACTCAGAGGATCTGTCTGACATTTAACACTCAGAGGATCTGTCTGACACTCAACACTCAGAAGATCTGTCTGACACTCAACACTCAGAGGATCTATCTGACACTCAGAGGATCTATCTGACACTCAGAGGATCTATCTGACACTCAACACTCAAAGGATCTATCTGACACTCAACACTCAGAGGATCTGTCTGACACTCAACACGCAGAGGATCTGTCTGACACTGAACACTCAGAGGATCTGTATGACACTCAACACTCAGAGGATCTGTCTGACACATAAAAAACAGAGGATCTGTCTAACACATAACAAACAGAGGATCTGTCTAACACTCAACACAGAGGATCTGTCTGACACTCAACACAGAGGATCTGTCTGACACTCAACACAGATGCTCTGTCTAACACTCAACACAGAGGATCTGTCTGACACTCAACAAAGATGCTCTGTCTAACACTCAACACAGAGGATCTGTCTGACACTCAACACTCAGAGGATCTATCTGACACTCAACACAGAGAATCTGTCTGACACTCAACAGATCTGTCTGACACTCAACACTCAAAGGATCTGTCTGACACTCAACACTCAGAGTTAAGGCAAGACTGATGTATAATCAGACTGCTACTGTCACCATCGAAAATGGAACTTTGCATTAGCTTCTGAAGATGGAGACAGAGCACTTATGAGAATATCCCAAGTGCTTTGACTACTTCATGTCTTAGCATCTGATAGCTTTGCATTTTTTAAATAAGCTTTTTTTTTTTTATTATTACCGAGGAGTAGTTGGCCAAATAGTTGAGAGTACTGGTCATTTTCTGGGGGGCAGGAGACTGAGGTTTGAATACTTGGTAGTATTGTGGATTTTTTCTTGCAAGGCAAACATAAAATCCTTCATGCACAGTCCGTGGTGACTGCCACAGAGGCAGATGCACTGCAACTTGAAGTAAACGCCCTAGTTAGTTGACTTTGATGAAATTAGGTTGCAGTAGGTCTTTTCTCTCTCTCTCTAACAGTCGGGTCCCAGAACCCACACAGGAAGTCATTCTATAAATTTGCGTCTGCTTAGCTCCATGTACATCCTCTCCATATTTATGTGACTCTTTTCTGTCTTTAGAAAACACCCCCCCCCCCCCACCCAAAAAAAACCAACCTCTCTTTTTTTGGGCGCTGTTGGTTCCACATGATTGACTTACACATGATTGACTTACACATGATTGACTTACACATGATTGACTTACACATGATTGATCCAGCTTATTACTGGCTTAGAAAATGAGGCTATTTGTTTTTGTTTTTGATATTTTTCAGTTGTTCTCTCAGTGCTCAGTCTTCAAAGGCTTAGATTGCTTGGATACACTTGGAGGAGGAGAGAGTCCCTAATTATGTTCTCATCCAAATTCACTTAATTTATCCCGCCCCCATTTAGGGTCAGCAGAGAGTGGAGGAAATGACCCCCTGCCCAACAAGCATGTCATAAGACATGACTAGGGGTTTGGTGAAACTGAATGGATTAGGCCTAAAGCTGTAGATATCACAGCCTAGCTGTAAAGCACAATGCAGCGTGCCAACCCTTCACAAGGGCAAATCCACAAGATTTTTCTTAAATAAAACTTTCAGCTAATTTTCCTAAAACTTTCAGCTAATTTTCCTCTGCTTACGTAAATTTTTTAATCATATTTAATGTCATCTCCCACTAAACTGTAAATTCTTTCTTCATTCTTCTTCTTCTTCTTTATCTTTTTCTTCTGTGTAGAAGATGTTGAGATCGGTCCCTACTACAGTGTAAAGATGTATGCAAATGGGATATGAATGATACATGTATTGATGTGGATGTGTGGGAACAAAAAGTGTAGACTGTTGCATGGAGGGGGCTTTATCCCTTTTCTGGTGGGGAATATACTGACCACATGCGATATGAGATGTTTGAGAATGGCTGTGAATAAACCAGAAGAGATCGAATGAGAAACAATGTGATTACAAGAACTGTTGGAACAATGCCCATTGTCAAATTTATAGAAAAATAAAGAATAAAATGGTTTGGTCATCTAATGAGAATGAAACCAACGATGCCAACAGCAAGATCGTACAGACTGAAAATAGAAACACCAAGAGGAAGAAGAAGACTGAGAAAAAGATGGATTGAGGGAGTCACTTGACACCTTGAGACTGCATAACATCACGGCATATCATGCAACTGAGCTCGCCCTGGCTCGGCTGCCGATCGTCTAGGGAACTGTGATGCCTAGAGGCATAACCAGATATTGACAAAAGAAAGAAGAAGAAGAATAAGGATAAAGAAAAGAATGATTGCAAATAGGTTAAGAGCTAAGCATCTGAGAAGAAGCACTTTAAAGACATGATTGTAGCAATAATAGTCTTGGAATGCCAAACTCTAATTCTTCTTAATGTGAGCGTGTCTTGCTGGTCACACTTGTCAGTGATTCCCTTCGCTTCACGAAGGCACGAGATAACACTATCCTCTGGAAAGACGAAAAAGTGCCAACAAATGTTTTTATTGTTAGATCTTTAACTTTTGCTGCAGCTACAAAGTTGTTCTAGACTCCGACGCAGAAGAGTTTGGTGGTCATAAGAGGCTGGACCATAATGTTGTGTACCGGACTTTCCCAGAACCTTGGAATAACAGGGCCAACCACATATTTGTAAGTATCCATCATAACCATTTGTTTAACTTTTTCGACACTTCCGGTTAGTACAATTCTCTGTAAAAGCTGCTTTCCTCACTGACTTAGAGACAAGCTTACAAGGCCTCGAGCTAACAGAATTAATTGCATGTGAGTCTGTGCAAACAAAACGTTCATTGTGACAGGGAATTACTGAATTGACTAAAAATAGCATTTGGGGGGTTTTCTTTAAGAAGATGGCTTTATTTGTAGAAATTTCTACATAATGTTTCACATTTGCTGTAGTGGTTACCAGGCAACTAAGTCACAGATTCAAGTTAGTGTCACCCCATAATTACTTTACAGGCCGCAAGAGATGAAGCCAGTTGATTCTTTGCTACTTTCATTGTTATTGATAATCCTCTTACTCTCTGTAATAGTTGTTTGTGCTTTAAATGATAAATTGATTTAGTGATTTTTTTTGGTGCTTGTGACATGTATAAAATGGTTTTTTTTTTTCTAAGGATTTTTCCTGAGGAATATATTAAAATAAAAACAATTTGTGGAAAGCATGTTTTTTGTTTCTAGTTCACCAGGACAAAAGGGTTAACAACAGTTCAACTGTAGTTTGTTCTGTTTCATGTTTTTTTTTAAAATCCTCTTCTACTTCTTCTTCCTCCTTATACTTTCCCACTACTTCAGTCTAACAGGACTAGTCCATTTTTTGTAAATACTCAGGATGATCAGTTGTCATCATCATGATAATTTTTCTTCTTTTTCTTGTTATTCTTCTATTTCTTCTCCTCTATACTCACTTTCAACAAGAAAATTAGAAAGTAAAGGACTCTTTTTTTTCACTAGTCCTGCATCAGGTATATGATGCTAAACTCATATTTTGTTTACACCGGTCGACATTCTATGGGTGATGTGGTCAGTATTATGCCAGCCACCTTTACTTCCCTAGGAAATCGTTACCTACCCATTCTATGTTGAGTCAACCTGGAAGCCAAGGTCATTTTTATAATCTTCCTTGACGCTGAGTTGAACCCAAGATATTCGGGCCAGCAGATGAGCATCTAGCCACAATGCAACGTGGCTCCCTCTATATTCAGATTTTCACATGAACTCTTTGTTTACCGAGCAGGCATTACATTGTCCAAAAAAAAAGGAAGAAAACAGTGGTGACTGCAGTCAAGCTAATACAGGAAATTAATCTGAACTATGAGCAAGAAAGTGTGGGAGAATACTCTGCCCCTTGTTTTTGTCAATGTGCTTTGTTTCGAGAAAGGCTCCGGCCAAAATGTCAGATTTGTGTGTGCGTGTGTGCGTGTTCATTGTTCTTCTTCCTCACTTCAATAAATCTCTTTGTCACAGTTTAGTGGGGTAATTTCTAGGCATCACGTAAACTCATTCTATCATAAGAATTTATTTCTGTAAGTATTCAGCATTTGGGCCTGGGGATATAAAAAAATTGCATTATGGGACAGGAGTTAAAGAAAGAATTGGGGCAGAGAGGGTTAGTTTAACAACACTGCGGGGTCACAGGGGGTTCAGAAGTTAAAACTGAGAAACATCCTGCATGTGCCTTCCTTACAAACAAATGGGAAAAGTAAACTTTTTAGAGTGTCTTGTCTCATCTACCTGAGAGGCAGGAACTAACAGCCTGCTTACAAATAAGCCAGATCTGTATAAAGGATGTGCACACAAAACTTAAGTTTGGAACTAGACCAAAGTCCAGAAGTGGACAAATAGCCACAACTTTCTGCTGAAGTTTACAGTCAGTGAATGCGAAGAAGAAGAAGAATGGGTTTACTAATCTTTTCTACCCTATTAGAATTATAGAAACATATTTACTGTGTTAGGAAATGTAAAATGGGAATTTTTTTTTGTTTTTAAAGTATTGATGTATTGTTTCTTCATTTAATGGCATGTTTTGTCAAGGCGCAGTCTTCACAAGTAGTACACATGGCTAAGACACACTTCTAGGGCAGCAGAATCCTTAACAACGACCTCTGTTGTGAAGTACACATGGCTAAGACACACTTCTAGGGCAGCAGAATCCTTAACAACAACCTCTGTTGTGAAGTACACATGGCTAGGACACACTTCTAGGGCAGTAGAATCCTTAACAACCACCTCTGCTGTGAAGTCTGTTGTGAAGTACACAAGGCTAGGACACACTTCTAGGAAAGCAGAATCCTTAACAACCACCTCTGCTGTGAAGTCTGTTGTGAAGTACACATGGCTAGGACACACTTCTAGGGCAGCAGAATCCTTAACAACCACCTCTGCTGTGAAGTCTGTTGTGAAGTACACATGGCTAGGACACACTTCTAGGGCAGCAGAATCCTTAACAACCACCTCTGTTGTGAAGTACACATGGCTAGGACACACTGCTAGGGCAGAAGAATCCTTAACAACCACCTCTGTTGTGAAGTACACATGGCTAGGACACACTTCTAGGGCAGAAGAATCCTTAACAACAACCTCTGTTATGAAGTACACATGGCTAGGACACACTTCTAGGGCAGCAGAATCCTTAACAACCACCTCTTCTGTGAAGTACACATGGCTAGGACACACTTCTAGGGCAGCAGAATCCTTAACAACCACTTCTGTTGTGAAGTACACATGGCTAGGACACACTTCTAGGGCAGCAGAATCCTTAACAACCTCTGTTGTGAAGTACACATGGCTAGGACACACTTCTAGGGCAGCAGAATCCTTAACGACCTCTGTTGTGAAGTACACATGGCTAGGACACACTTCTAGGGCAGCAGAATCCTTAACAACAACCTCTGTTGTGAAGTACACATGGCTAGGACACACTTCTAGGGCAGTAGAATCCTTAACGACCTCTGTTGTGAAGTACACATGGCTAGGACACACTTCTAGGGCAGTAGAATCCTTAACAACCACCTCTGCTGTGAAGTCTGTTGTGAAGTACACATGGCTAGGACACACTTCTAGGGCAGCAGAATCCTTAACAACCACCTCTGCTGTGAAGTCTGTTGTGAAGTACACATGGCTAGGACACACTTCTAGGGCAGCAGAATCCTTAACAACCACCTCTGCTGTGAAGTCTGTTGTGAAGTACACATGGCTAGGACACACTTCTAGGGCAGCAGAATCCTTAACAACCACCTCTGTTGTGAAGTACACATGGCTAGGACACACTTCTAGGGCAGCAGAATCCTTAACAACAACCTCTGTTGTGAAGTACACATGGCTAGGACACACTTCTAGGGCAGCAGAATCCTTAACAACGACCTCTGTTGTGAAGTACACATGGCTAGGACACACTGCTAGGGCAGAAGAATCCTTAACAACCACCTCTGTTGTGAAGTACACATGGCTAGGACACACTTCTAGGGCAGAAGAATCCTTAACAACAACCTCTGTTGTGAAGTACACATGGCTAGGACACACTTCTAGGGCAGCAGAATCCTTAACAACCACCTCTGCTGTGAAGTACACATGGCTAGGACACACTTCTAGGGCAGCAGAATCCTTAACAACCTCTGTTGTGAAGTACACATGGCTAGGACACACTGCTAGGGCAGAAGAATCCTTAACAACAACCTCTGTTGTGAAGTACACATGGCTAGGACACACTGCTAGGGCAGAAGAATCCTTAACAACCACCTCTGTTGTGAAGTACACATGGCTAGGACACACTTCTAGGGCAGTAGAATCCTTAACAAGGACCTCTGTTATAAAGTACACATGGGTAGGAAACACTGCTAGGGCAGAAGAATCCTTAACAACCACCTCTGTTGTGAAGTACACATGGCTAGGACACACTTCTAGGGCAGTAGAATCCTTAACAAGGACCTCTATTATGAAGTACACATGGGTAGGAAACACTGCTAGGGCAGAAGAATCCTTAACAACCACCTTGTTGTGAAGTACACATGGCTAGGACACACTTCTAGGGCAGCAGAATCCTTAACAACAACCTCTGTTGTGAAGTACACATGGCTAGGACACACTTCTAGGGCAGCAGAATCCTTAACAACCACCTCTTCTGTGAAGTACACATGGCTAGGACACACTTCTAGGGCAGCAGAATCCTTAACAACCACCTCTTCTGTGAAGTACACATGGCTAGGACACACTTCTAGGGCAGCAGAATCCTTAATAACCACTTCTGTTGTGAAGTACACATGGCTAGGACACACTTCTAGGGCAGCAGAATCCTTAACAACCTCTGTTGTGAAGTACACATGGCTAGGACACACTTCTAGGGCAGCAGAATCCTTAACGACCTCTGTTGTGAAGTACACATGGCTAGGACACACTTCTAGGGCAGCAGAATCCTTAACAACAACCTCTGTTGTGAAGTACACATGGCTAGGACACACTTCTAGGGCAGTAGAATCCTTAACGACCTCTGTTGTGAAGTACACATGGCTAGGACACACTTCTAGGGCAGTAGAATCCTTAACAACCACCTCTGCTGTGAAGTCTGTTGTGAAGTACACATGGCTAGGACACACTTCTAGGGCAGCAGAATCCTTAACAACCACCTCTGCTGTGAAGTCTGTTGTGAAGTACACATGGCTAGGACACACTTCTAGGGCAGCAGAATCCTTAACAACCACCTCTGCTGTGAAGTCTGTTGTGAAGTACACATGGCTAGGACACACTTCTAGGGCAGCAGAATCCTTAACAACCACCTCTGTTGTGAAGTACACATGGCTAGGACACACTTCTAGGGCAGCAGAATCCTTAACAACAACCTCTGTTGTGAAGTACACATGGCTAGGACACACTTCTAGGGCAGCAGAATCCTTAACAACGACCTCTGTTGTGAAGTACACATGGCTAGGACACACTGCTAGGGCAGAAGAATCCTTAACAACAACCTCTGTTGTGAAGTACACATGGCTAGGACACACTTCTAGGGCAGCAGGATCCTTAACGACCTCTGTTGTGAAGTACACATGGCTAGGACACACTTCTAGGGCAGCAGAATCCTTAACAACAACCTCTGTTGTGAAGTACACATGGCTAGGACACACTTCTAGGGCAGCAGA